GAGAGAGAGAGAGAGAGAGAGAGAGAGAGAGAGAGAGAGAGAGAGAGAGAGAGAGAGAGAAAGAGCTGCCAGAAGATCCTGATGCTGAGGCCGCACGGATACACATGCTATTCGTGTTAGCCCTCGGCCGGCGGACGCTGGTTTCGTGTTTTGGCTCAGAGTATTCAAATCGTTCCCCGAATCACAGAATTTTCGACAACTAAATGTAATAAATTGTCATCAAGGTAGGAGCAACGGAAAGTCTAGATAAGTCTGCGAGAAAGTACCTTCAAGATACAACTGTACATTGTGAATAGAGTACAGTTTGCAGAAACGATCCGCTGTTCGAGGGTTGATATGTTAAATACGTCGGCGCGGAGATCCTCTGGAGAGATCCTGCGTTTGTGCGACGTCAGCCTAGGGATCCGTTCGAGATCTTCTGGCGTCCCTGAACCGACTGAAAAAAGCTGGTTCGCTGGCTTTCGTTTCACTTGCCGGTTGCGCGCGGTACCGCGTACCCCCCCCCCCCCCCCCCGTTGGTCTGAATTTAAGTCGAAACGCGGCAAAATCGCGTGTCCCCCCAATGAATATCGGCTGTTGCTTAAATCTTCGTTTTGTAAAAAAAAATTCTTCGAGGCAGCTGAGACGTGGAAATTTGGATTTTGTACATATAGACGTTGTTATGTAAATGTTGAAATTGATTTTGAGATATCGCGATGCCGGCGCAATCGGGGAAGTTGAAGGGAGCGGAGGAAACAAGGAAATAAAAAAAAACGACTGTGCTTCGAGTGATGTTAAATTAATGAATTCGTATGACAAGATTGGTTTTCTTGATCAATTGTCTTGGGAATCGGATGGACGGTATATACGCTCGTGCTTTCTTTCTTTTTAAATTAACGTATACAGTGGCTGTGGAGAAACGTTTATTATCATACGCCTATGTTTACTCTCGAGAAATTGGATCGTACAAATTTCTGTCACACCGGGAGCATGCCGTAGGAAGACACGGTGGACGTTTATCGAGTGCTCGAGTATTTATTCGCTTATATTTATTTTACAAATATAATTGAGCACGCGCCGTGTGTTCTTGGCCCCCGCGAACGCATTCAGGTTTCTTCTTTCTTTGCAGTAAAAAAAGAAAACAATCGACCGTCGGCCAGAATGCGTTCGCCACGACTTCGTTCGTATCAACGACGCTCAGCTGTGACTTGGAAATATTGAAAGAGCAACGGTGTTAGAGGTTAGGTCGTTAACGGGTGCACGCGCATCGGGACCGGAACGGTTTGTATCACGTGACCGTTCACCGTACTATTTTAAATCGCTTTCTACGTTGAGCTTTCGAGCTTTCTTTCGATATACTCGATACGAGACCGTTAATTCGTCAAAGAAATTCGGATCATAAGTCGACGAAATAATCTCCCGTGAATGCGTTAACGATTTTTGTTGCGCGCGCGATCACGGTTAAGCTCGAATTGCCGATGGTAGTTTCGATCCTTCTTGAACTGTAGTTCGTACATCTCAAGAAGAACAAAAAAAAAAGAAAGAAAAAAAAGAAAACGAAGAAGCAGGCTCTTTTTTGCGACAGAAAAGTTTGAGGATCACGAAATTAATTCGATTCAAATTGATTATAATTTCTGTGAGAGAAAACGAATGTTCGCAGACGGGAGAGTGACGTGTTGTGATTATTAACGGTCTCATTCAGATATCATGGTTTATGCCTTAGTATTATTATTACTTGTATCCGCGTACGCATACATGTACATCTTGTTTTTTCTTTTTTTATTTTTTAAATTATTTAATCGAAGGCTCGGTCAGTCAGTCAAGCTGATATATAATGTATGTATGTAAAATGCGCTGCGTCGGTTTTTATTAAGTTATTGGTTAGCGGAGAGTGAAATCGTTGTTTTTTTTTTTAATTACGGGAACGACACGCCCGGAATGTCATAGAAAATGTCACCCTAGTTCGACAGAGCGTCTCCTGGAATTGTTGGGGAAACAATTTTTTTTCAATTTTTTGAAGCCTTGCCTCAAAATAATTCGCACAACAGTGTTTGGTTGTGTCCCTTGCGCGTTGCTAACGAGGGAAAGTTGTGTATCGGTGGTTCGTGATAGTAAAGCTATTCGAGGAGAAACAGACTAGCAATAACGAAAGAGAGGTATAGAGAGCCATAATCGATGGAGTCGTGTATGCTTGAACATAGCATCGGTTTCGCACGAAACGGATCGAGCACGATGAATTATAAAACTTTAGCGATGATAGTACTACTAAATTAGTAGATGTTTCAAATAGAGCAACGCTACTGAATCAGTAGCTCATCGTGCAACACATGCACTTCCTAACGAGTCGGAGGGGACCCTTCGATTAAAAATATATCAAAGTTTTTCGTACGTGTCTGTCTTTTTTTCTAAAAAAAAAAATTACACAACAGATTGACAATGAAACGAAGTCAATTCAAATTGTAAACTCTTACGAAGCGTGTATTGGGTACAAATTTTTCAACCGTTTGTAGCCGACTGTATGAATACTTTTGTTCCTCGCTGTGCACTTTTATTAACTAACGATTAATTTCACTTATTTCATTGACTACTAGTTGATTTATTATTATATGCATATTCGACAATCTTCGAAAAGTTTTCGTTTCGAGAACTTCTTTCGAAAGGATCAGTTTCTTTTACGTATACATTATAAAAACGATCTTTTTATTCATTCCTGATCAGAATCATTGCTTATCATTTGCGATGTTATTATTTTATAATCTGATAGCTACGGTGACTTTTTCACGCTTTATTTGTACGATATACGCCAGCCATGGGCGCAGACTACCCATGCCTGGTCTATAGAATGCAAATACGAATTCTTCTGAGGCGTCAATCGTTCGTATCCATCGAAACCGATACAGTAACGTTTCGAAAATCAAAGAGTTATTCGACGTATCGAAAAAATTCTTTCACATTCAAATAGCCCACACGAAACTGGACCAGTTTTGCTTGAGAAGTTTCTTAAAATTCTGCACGTATCGGGAGTTATAACGATTTCAATGTTTCGTTTGTCCCCTGCATACTTACGCCTATGGTTTCCATTTAAACCAGTATAACTTTCGATGTGCGCACAATTCGAAAAAATCGTTCAAACAAAAGATGCCCAGTTTCACGAAGGCTGTACAAACGTGTAAAAATTTCTTCGAAAAAGCGTCGTTTTAACTCTAATTTCAAGACCTCCGAAAACTATCTTCGAAACGCTGCTGTGTCCACGATTGTCTTTCGGTTCTGCACCCGCTTTCTTTTTATCGAGCAAGACCAACGCCGACACGGAGAACAAATATCCGGACGATATTTTCCACGCCGATCGGATTCAAAGCAACAAAAGACGAACGAGAAACGTATTATTTGTTTATATCGCTCGAAATTTGCAACTGGACAAAGAAGCAAAATTCTGCGCCTGCGCGTGCGCACTAGTCATTTCGTTCCCTCCTTGACGTGACTACATATAAAGTATAAAGTGTCTATCTCGAATCGTGACTTGATTTCGGCGCTTTCGTTCGATCCGATCCCGAAATCGTGCAATCGATGTAAATAGTCGTACTAGATGGGGGCATTCCGAGCGGTCGATTCGAACTTACCAAACGTAAAATTGTCTTATATGTGTGTCGTCGTTACACATACATCTGTCGTTACATACGTCGACTGTTTCGTTAACTTTCATGTCTGGCTCCTTCGTGTCAGTCCCGAGGCCAGCGAAACGAAGAAAAACAAAAAAGAGGTTTTCAGGTTAGGAACGTTTTCGAGGTTAGGCCGAGAGCCAACCGGTTTGCGTTCAGCGGTGTAGAAACCGGGCTCGCTGTGCGGGTACAAAACGGCGACCATCGATGTACAGAGGCTCCCGTTAATATTCGGACACTTTTCAAAACGCAATAAGTTTTTGAAAGCTAGCATAAACGATCTGAATATTTTTTTTTTAAATGATAGGGGCACTAGTGTACTAGACGATGACTAAACTATTTTTTTACAATTTTGCTATCGCTTGGAATGACAATACAAAATAGAAGACTCACGATTTGTAACTTTTACATCTGAGCATTAAAAGATCGAGGAAATTGCAATTTTCTCACACTTATTGGTCAAAAGTGTAAGAAACTACGATTTTTGCTATCTTTAATTGTTTATACAGGTCGATCGATCAAAATGAAATTTTTAACACGCGCATTAACTTAACGAGATCTACAAGACGCATTTTTCAAATTTTCATTATATTCTCAGATAAAAAAGCTACAGGACGAGAGTTCCTTGTTTTCTATTGTCATTCTAAGCAACAGCAAAATTTAAAAAATGCATTCTAGTTACGGTCTAGTAGACTGCTCGCTGTGTCATTTAAAAAAGAAAAATTCAAGTTTAGTTTTAAAAAAGTTATCGCGTTTTGAAAAGTGTCCGAATATCGACGGGAGCCGCTGTATGTCCTTTTCATGATTTCTCTTGTCCCTTTTTGTACATAGAGCTCACATCGGTCCGCGAAGAAAGAAATGGTGGACGATCCGGGGAATGGGCGGGAGGGAGGGAGGGAGGGAGGGGGGATAAGTATATGGAGAAAATATTATGTGTACATGAACAATGTGATATAAGTAATTAACGAAATTACTTAGCACTGTAGCGTTTAAGCAGAACTGTTAAACTGTTTACAGCGTAGAACGTATGATGCTAATTATTATTTACTAACATCCTAAACGAATCGTAATTGTACATAGAGTTACGCAGGTATGCGAGAGAGTGATTGAGCGAGAGAAAGAGCGAGAGAGAGAGAGAGAGAAAGAGAAAAAAGAGAGAAAAAGAGAAAGTAAAAGTTAGCGCGACAGGGGTGGGGGGTGGGGGGAAGCAAGAAAATCGCGAAGAAAAAGTACATATATCAGGTAAAAAAAGTATGCGAGAATGAGAGAGAAAAAGAGAGAGAACTAAAAAAATTGAACGCGTGCGGAAATGTTTTCTTTTTTAGCGACGCCAATGGCATCGTGTATATATTCACATCGTGATAGAGCCTGTAGATCGTAATTCTCGTGTGAATGGGACAGCGAGCGAATTCTTCTGCGTTCCGGTAAGAGTGTTGTTGTTGTTGTAGTCTATGTCGAATTTTGTTATACGTCGTCGCTGACGTATGGAAACGTACGGTATATCTCACGAATCTTGGGACGACTTGTTGTGCATTGAACTGTAAGAGAGCGAACGAGCGAGCGAGCGAGAGAGAGAGAGAGAGAAAAGAACTATGCGGAAAATCATATTGTAGAGACGAAACGAAGCGGGCGGACAACACTTTTTGTTTTCAAAAGAATGCGACAAATTTCAATACAATCTATTACAATAAAAACGTAAGCGTGGAACGTTGTTCAGCTGCCTGTCCCTGCGTTTTCTTTCAGATCCCGTCGTTCGCCGCGCGGCCACGCCCACTTTGGACGCTGGCCGGAGCCGCGAGGCCACGCCCACTTTGGACGCTGGCCGGAGCCGCGAGGCCACGCCCACTAAGAGCGTTTGAAGCAAGGTAAGTGTGCCTGGGTTACCAATAAACGTAAATGCCTCGGACGACGACGTTTTATCGAGTTTTCTCGTAACTATTATTTTATTACAGAACTTTTATGGCGGTAGAATAAAGTTATTTATGGGAGATCGATCCAATCGGCGGATCTTGCCACTTGAATTCTTCTTGGTACGTGACATAGATCACCCAATAGCAAACGTTCAACAGCCCGAAGGATGTCGGGAACACTACCCTTGCTACTCTGTCGATGTAGGAAACGCTATTTATGTGTCTCGCTATCTTCTCCCCCTTTTTCTTGCAGTTCCCCGCGGCTTCCCTTTGTCTGCGTCTCCTGCGAACGCAACGATTCAATCGAAATAATTGCACATTCGAATTCTGTTCAATTCGTTATTGTGAATTTGTCACCTGAAGNTTTGGACGCTGGCCGGAGCCGCGAGGCCACGCCCACTAAGAGCGTTTGAAGCAAGGTAAGTGTGCCTGGGTTACCAATAAACGTAAATGCCTCGGACGACGACGTTTTATCGAGTTTTCTCGTAACTATTATTTTATTACAGAACTTTTATGGCGGTAGAATAAAGTTATTTATGGGAGATCGATCCAATCGGCGGATCTTGCCACTTGAATTCTTCTTGGTACGTGACATAGATCACCCAATAGCAAACGTTCAACAGCCCGAAGGATGTCGGGAACACTACCCTTGCTACTCTGTCGATGTAGGAAACGCTATTTATGTGTCTCGCTATCTTCTCCCCCTTTTTCTTGCAGTTCCCCGCGGCTTCCCTTTGTCTGCGTCTCCTGCGAACGCAACGATTCAATCGAAATAATTGCACATTCGAATTCTGTTCAATTCGTTATTGTGAATTTGTCACCTGAAGGCCTCGTCGCCAGCGAGACAGTATAGAAACTGTCGCCATTTTGGTATCCACACTTCCGTTTGCGTCTGACGTTCCATCGTTGACGGTCTAGACGCGACGGCCACCGTCATCGACCCTCTGTCGTAGGCCATTGACTCCTAATAGAAGTTTCGTTCGTGTTGAAAAGTATTTAACAATATCGCTAATTTAGAAAGTGGCGATTTTCATACATTCATGTCGTAGACGTCGCAAATTAGAGAGCTACCACGACGAGGTACGTCGATTATGGTCGGTGGATTGACCGTCTGGGGGCTGCAGGGCCCGATACTGCAGAATCCATCGTAATTAACTTCGATGTCGTCCTCGAGATCTTCCTCGTCTATTGGAATTTCTCCACTGCCAACCTGAGCACGTGCATCGACGGTATTTTGCGAAAATTGTTGAGAAAAATTGACCAATGATTACGGCTGGATTTTACAGAGTTTTTATCGGACTCACTTTCGTGAAATAATGTACACCGGCGAATTCCAAAAGGGTGGCAATGCAGTAGCCGAAACTCATCAACAGAAACCAGTCGAGGGCAGTGGCGTATCTGACTTTCGGTAAATCGGTCCTAGAGTCGAGGCTGATGGTCGACAATGTCAGCACAGTGGTAATACCTGCGAGATAAAATCAATGATTTGCGAGATTCGCGAAATCTTTTTGGCAAGAGAGATTTTTAAAATCCTTGTATTTTATTTAGCTATATATATTTATATTATAATTATATATTATTTATCTATATTATTTATAGATAATTATATATAGATTATTATTTATATCTTATTATTATATTTAGATATTTATATATTATCTTATTATTATATTATATATTTATATATTATCTTATTATTATATTATTATATTTATATTTTATTCTTTATATCTATAATTATTTATAGATTATATATTATAGATAATATATAATAATATATATATAAATATAGATAAATAATATATAATTATAATATAATATATATATATATAGTCACCTAGTCCGACTCGATCGCTGGTCGCTTCGCGATGGATCCAGAACGACACCCAGCTGAGCACCACTATCAGGACGCAGGGCACGTAAACCTGCATTTCTTACGAAAATTTAATGAATAACTGTTTACACATTAAATGGATTATTAAATGAATGATAATATAATTAAGGAAAGTTTAATCGATTATAGAATAATTTGTGAGATTAATCTTGTTTAGCCTACCCTGTAAAACTTTTGCAAATAAAGAGATATAAAAGTTGACTAACCTGAATAAGAAAATACCCTGTGTTCCGTTGTAAGTTGAAAGAGACCTGGAGAACCGAGAACTCACCCTCTCGTCGAAAATAAGTTAGATTTCGGTACGGCGAACCCATTAAATCGAATTGCGACAGAGCCATTCCAGGTACAAAGTTTACAGAAGATCCTTCTTGCCATTCGTACACCAATTGACCCGATGTGTACGCATCTAAAAGCATGAATATGTTTGTTAAGAATTTAGTTAACAATTCATTTCGTATATTAATTAGTTTAGATTATTAGTTGCAATTAATTAGTTAATTGTGGATAATGCTCCATTTCATGTGCAAATATCAAGTATCCAAGCATTCGTTTCTGTCAAAAGTTACAGCACTTTGTAATTATTCGAATGGTCCTAGCTTCTCGAACAACACGTCAATCAAAAGATTAATTTTGTAACATAGCAGGCATAATATGTGCGTTTTGCGATTGAATATCGAAGAAGGGATTCCAAGGAACGTATTTGTAATAATTTTTCGCGGGTTCGAATTGTTATTAATTAGTTATTAACGATTTTCTGTTTTATGTCCCGATATTGAATATTTGCGTGAATAATTCGTGCCGTTTTTTCCATAAAAAGCAATGTAAATTCCGGCACGAATCATTTGCTCGATGGGGGTCCGTACAGCGCCAATTCGTCCAGTGGCAAAACGCTCAAACTGTTCGCCGAATTTGACTGCTGGTAAATTGTATCAATTAGTTCCAATAGTTCCCGCTGGATGGCGTCTGGAGTAAACCACGCGCGACGTCTGGCGGGAAACTGTGAAACTAACTGGCAACCAGTTTGGGCGTTTTGCTATAAGATGGCGCAGCCGTCTTATGTGGCCGGTAATTACCGACTGCTTTTCTGCGTCGGTCACGTTGCCCAACAGTTTGGGCGTTTTGCCACTGGACGAATTGGCGCTGTACGGACCCCTATCAAGCAGATGATTCGTGCCGGGATTTACATTGCTTCTTATGGAAAAGGCGGCACGAATTATTCGCTTGGATTTTTGATATTTGCACATGAAATGGAAAATTATCCATAACTAATTAATTACAGCTCGAATATGCGAAAAATTATTATAGGCACGTTGCTGGGTATCTCTTCTAGACACTCCAATTGTTGTGACGTATTGCATATCATTACGAATAAAGAAACTTTAAATTTATTTGGACAAAGGATGCGAGATGAATATTTACATATGTAAAGCGTAGGGGTATTGGCAAACGATGAAACGTTTCAGAATATTAAATTTTGCGAGCATTGGAAAATAATAAAGCTGGAGAATTATATCGGACACGAGTATGAAAATCAAAGAACGATGCAACTGCAGGTTCAATTGGAAAGGGTTTATGTTGGCAATAAAACGCCAGCTGCAACTATGGACAATACCGGTATGTTTGCACTGTATGAGGATCGTTTCGCGTAGGCACGAGACTACATTGTCCTCGAAGGGAAATTTAGATTAAGAACTGATTCAATTCCGGAAGGTGTTTCTTATCTTTATTCCAATTGCAATTGAAATGATATACTATAAATAGTATATATATATTTATAGTATAGTATATATGCTATTATATTTTTTTTATATACCATATATATTATATATATACTATATACTATATTTACTATATATATATATATATATATATATTATTATACTATATTATTATAGGAAATATAGTATATCAAATCTAAACTTTGTTAATGTAAAAATTATCTTAGAACGTGATATGACAAATTTCAGCGGTGCCTCGGAGTCACCGTTCGAGTGCAAAGGGTTAATGGATATTGTAAAATATATTAAAAAAGAAAAAGAAATACTTACAGCTTCCAAGAATTAATGGACACGATTGCCGGTCCATGGGGAAATTTCTGAGCTCCATCGGGCACTTTGCTTTTATAGTAAGCCTGTTCCGCAAATTTTAAAATTTTTATTAATTATGATAAAAAGTATATGTATTTTTAAATGGAAAACGAGAAGCGCTGCGAACAATAATACCTCATGGAGTATAAAATGTCGCCGTCCTGTGAGATTCTCAATAACTTATTGGGCACCGTAATGGTGTGCACGTAACTATGTTTCCCATTGTAGATATATGTATCCGGCCGCCATATACGTTCCAGCATTTTGATACTGAGGCTCAAGGACTTGATCGGACCTAGGAAGCTCAGACGAGAATCTCGCCACGATTGTCGAAAGTAACAGTCCATCGAATAGTCCTACGAAAACAATAACATTGAGATATTTTGAACAATTCAATTTTATATCGGTTTATCGGTTTTTTATTTATTTATCGTGGCTTCAAAAATATTACGATTTAAATACTGCTATGGTAGTCTTACATTTCCGACTCACCATGTCGAGTTCGGACACGGGCCCCATGCTTCTTATCAAAATATTCGTTTTCACCACTGTGGGTATTCCTGGCAACCATAGAAATAACTATAAAGCTGATATGATTGTTAATTATTAAATATAATAATTAATAATTAAATATAATTATATTATTATTATATTATATTATATATATTATATATATTATTATATTATTATATTATTATTATATATATTATTATATAATTAATAATTAAATATAATAATATAATTATTAAATATAATTATTGACATAGATAATTATTAAAATAAATAATTAGCAACAACAAAATAATAATTAAAAATAAAAATAAAGTACGTACAATCGAAACAGAACTGAAATGAAGGAAAAGTTTCGTGCAGCCCTGTGCAAAAAATGAAGCGTTCCGATTTCGGATCAGAGGAATTCGGAGCATTAGTAAGCCGCTTCCGTGGTCTTCCGACGGGCGGAAAGGAAAATTGCGGAAAATTGAAGCCGTACGACGGGAATAAAGGCAATTTCGGAAGGATACTTTTCTTCGGCTGGCTGCGGTCCAACGTACCATCCCCGTCACCCCCGTTACACTCGTATCGGCTTCCTATTTTCCCTTTCCGCTCGATCATCATCATCAGCATCATCGTCCAAAATTGATACATCCGATGGAAATTTAAATCCAAATGCACGAAATTCAAAAACTTGATTGTCTACCGATTTTCTTCAGATTTTCTACCGAACCCAAATTGTATATACATGAAATTAATCAACAAATTTTATCCAAATCGAAATATATAAAATTAAACGACAAATTGTCCATTAAATCTAGAATACATAAAATTAAAAATCATCGAGAATTGCAGAAGCTGTTTTAGAAAATCTCTGGACCACATGGCAAGGGAAATGAATTTCACTTAATCTTGAAATCAATTAATTTCATTGAAAGAAAATACATTTTTTAAAGTTCGATAACGAATATAGAAATAAGTATTACTATTTCTACGTATTTATTTTTCCTCTATAGCGTCGCGTTACTTTTACTCCCAGTCCCGTTTTATTTTTATTTTATTCCCGCTTCGCGCGGTCGGCCCTATTTGATACCGGTTTTATTTTTATTTTGCACCCGATATGGTTCGGCCGTGCCTCTGTGGCACCGGCGCGGCGGACAGAAAATAGTGAGAACGTATCGCGCGGAGCAAACATCGGTCGCAGGAAATTTCGAACTACCCTACGGATCGGGAAAGACTCCGAAAAATGGACAGTTTGTTCCGGCAACACAGATCAGAACGAACAGAAAACTGTTCTACGACGATGAATGCATCGTCGGCGTTCGTTTCTCCTGGAAAAAGGAACTCGCACGCTTTGTCGGAGTGCATAACTATTGGGCACACTCCAGTTTCCCTCAAAACGGAGTTTAAACAAACGGAAACAATGTACGATTGTAAACAATAGTTCTCATACCGAGTTCCTAGGCTGCGAGGTTATAAATAAATAATTACGATTATTGTTATTACTGTGAATAATAATGTTCGATGCTCCGTAGCCTTGTTCAATCTTTTTGGTCGACTCTATTTTGCATAGGAGAGAAATAAGAATTTCATATTGAATTTAATATTAAATAGTATTAATTTAATTATTGAATGATAATTAATAGATATTTGATTTAATATAGTATGCAATTCGTTCGATTTAATGTAATATTTATTTAATTTAATTTAATGTAGTACTCAATAAATTTAATTAAATTTATTAATTATTATAATATTAATATATATATATAATATTATTAATTATTATAATAATATATTATTATAATATGCAATTCATTCGACTTAATGT